TTAAATTTATCCATTATTTGGTTGTTTTCTTCTTCTTCTTCTTCTTCTTCTTCTTCTTCTTCTTCTTCTTCGACTTCGATATATGTACATGGGTGTGTTTGTGTAAAAGTGGTCAATCGTGGTACTCGATCCTCCATTTCTCTGTTATTTCAGACCTCTAGTGACTTGGTAAAGATAGGCGAATATTCATTGTTCATCCTAACACTGTTGGTTGGTGAGAGTTTTTTTTTGATTCGACTGTGAAAGGGAGTATTGTTGTTCAAGGGCTAGTAGATATTGGGTTTGATACAGCGGGGGAGGCGCCTTTAGGCTTGATTGACAAGCATCGGCCTGGGTGTATCTGGAATGGGTGTTTTGTTCTTGTCTTGGAGAGGTTAATATATATATATATATTTGTTTTTTCGGGGGATGTGAGATTGGTGCTACTAAGTACCAATGACGAGTGTGGATTGCAGCAGCCAGACAGCTTGATCTTGTGTTGTCGTGGAGACATTGTGATATGTCTAATTGCGCTTACTTTTTCCTACAATGCTTCATGTCGAGTTGGGTCGTCTGATTTTTTTTAGATTCGGTCTCGTTTACGGTGTAAGGGAGTAAAAGTGGCAGAAACTGACTGCGATCAAGTTGTTGGACTTCGCTTTGCCTTTCCCTTACTTGAGAGCTCTGGCATATCTTTGGTGGGAGGTCTATCAGTTTTGCTTTGAAATCTATATATATCCGCCGTCTGGCTGTCGGTTCAATGTAGAGAATTCACATGCGAGAACAAGTCGGTACACCAGATTTTATTACTAACTACGATACTATTATCTACTCGGCTTGCTAATCCAATATGTCACCATCTCGATCCTACTCTGCCACTCACTCTCTCGACTCTATACTACCTATTTTGCTACTAAGTGCAGATCATCTACTCCACCCTATGCTCGTGTGAAAATAGATGCCCTCCAGACACCTCCACAGACCTGGCCATCGTCACCTCGGCACTTGTGGACACACTCAGCTCCACCGACCATATTATAACCACTCTTCATAGTGTTGCCACAGTAGCATTCCCAGCCATATTCGATTCCAAAATAGGTATAGTTCTCGCAGATAGACGAACACATCTGGATAGTCATCTTGTTGTCGAACTTTACGTGCTCCGCTAGCACTCGGCTGGCATTGTCGGCATAGCAACCGAGGTGTCTGTAATGCGTTTTCTTGTATTCGGCTAAATCTTTGTTGAGTTGATCCTCCTTGGTCTTGCAAGCATTGTTTGCAGCAGTAAGATCGTTGGCCGATTTCTGCCTGCACTGAGTGATCTCTATGTCCTTGCTGCCCAACTGCACCTTGCAAGCACTGTTTGCAGCATTAAGATCGTTGGTCGACTGAGACTTGCACTGAGAGATCTCGACGTCCTTGTTGCTCAACTCCAATTTGCAGTTCTGAGCCTGTTGCAAGGCATCTAGCTCCGCCTTTTGACGGTCGGCTAGGGATGTCGCCTCGCACTCTGTGTGCTTTTCTTGAGCCTCAGTAACTTGAGCGGTGAGTGTTCTTTCGCGCTCGAGGCAGTCGTCCCTTTCAGCCGAGCAAGTGTCGGGAAAGGGGTTGGGATTTCTGGAGGTATGGGCAGAGAGCAACTCATTGTACGTGACGCCGTTGGAGCAGGAGCAGGAGCATGTGGGTACGTTTGATGGATCAGTACACGTAGTTGCAGGCGTTGCACCTAGATTTTGTAAGGTTTTCGAAACGTTTTGGGCCTTGAGTCTGCTTACCGTTCTGACACTGGTACGAGGTCTCTGCAGGGTTGGTCGACCCGAGCACGTTCTGGGTTTCGAAGGAGTAAACGCCTGCAGAAAGGGCCGAAACGAGAAATACCAAAGAGGTTCTCATAGTGTCTGTATAGGTAATGGATTCAGAACAAAAAGATGAAATGTGAAGTGATCGATAGATATAACAAGCTCCACAGATACACTTTATATATTGTTCATTCCTAACGATCTGGTACCTAACTATTGGCTAACTCATAATTATTTTTTTTCATCCAGACTACTATTGTGCCTTGCTCTGGTCGAGCGCGTCATCTGGTCGTCTAGAGTTCTTGCTCGCAGCACAGCACCACCTGTATATGATCTCTTACAGGCGCATGCGCCGCTAAAAAAAAGAAGTATACACTTATGTTTAACTGTGTTTGTATCTTGTTGACTCGGATATATTCGGAATACTTGCGGGGTTCCGCCGCTAGTCAAGTGGAGTTTGACTACTTTTCCAAGACGGTGATCCCATTATATGCCTGTTTTTGCTAATGGGCGGGATTTGCTTATGGCTTCGACGTTGCGTACCGAGTCTTTCTATTTTTTTTCTTTTTTCTTTTTTGCAAAAATGACTACGTAATTGCGACCAAATCTTTCGCGCTTAGGCCAATGCAAATCACTCGGATGCTCTGATAACAAAGAGGAGTATTTGGAACTCGATGCCAGCCAATGAAGTGACCGCTGAGTAGATACGTTCATGTTCCTTGGTTACGTCTTCTATCCATACTGTCAGGAACCCCTGCCTTAACTGAAGGGTATGCACATCCTATTCCCAACAGCGTGTTACTTGGCTTGTGGGCTTCAGTCGGTGTGACACTCACTACTGGTATGGCTCAATTTTCTTTTTTCTATCAAGGACGCGAGGGATTTAAGCGATTTCCTCGAGATATATAAAGTAGAGCTTTTCCTTGAAAATTCCTACAGCTTTCTTCTACATCGACTATCATCTACATCTTTCGTCCCAAGAAACCGACAACATGCGTGCTTCCATAGCCATCATTGCCACTCTCACCAGCCAGATTGTGCACGCGCAATCTGGAATGGACATGTTTCCTGGTAGCATGGCCTTTGGTAGCATGGTGACATGCCAAAATGGTATGTGTTCACTGTTAGATAAATGAGTCCCACCACTAATTTATGGTTCCAGGTTACGTGCCCTCTCTGACGTGCGAAAACCCGGTTCCAGAGACTTGCGCTTGCACTTGTAGTGACGGAATGACATTCAACCAGCCCCGTCCTCCCGTAGTAGACCCTGTGCCTCCACCAGTAGAACCACCACACCAACTTGTCGACAAACCCTGCACTACTGAAATCATCCAACCATGGAGGGAAATCCAACTACCTCATGTGAAAAACTCGTACGAGCCCTCTCAAATGTTTGAGCACGAGGTCGAAGTAGCTGAGGGAAGTGTGTTCGTGGTAGCTGATTCAGCTGGGAGGTGTCAACACTTTGAGGTGTTTGTGGATGGAGTATCTATTGGGGAGACAGATGGACCAGGGGAACTTGACAATTTTAGATGTGGAACACCGGAAGAATGCATGGAAAAACACGGGGGTAGTAAAGGGTACTTTACGCTTCCTGGAGGTAAGTTCAAAACCCAATACTCGCTGTGTTCAGACCACATCCGAAATACATGGCTCACAAAGGAGATAGGAAAACATACTATCGGTCTCAGGTGGATCAGGATTTCGGAAAAATGCAAACACATTACAAATGGTGTTGGCTCATACCAGATCTACAAGCCATGCTGATTGGCATCACCTGGTCTGTGGGTACATACATTGCTAGAATGCCAAGGTTCCTTAGTAGCCAAGTCACTGGGGCTCATTGGCTGTTCAGACAACGTTACAAACGGTGCTTGTATGTACGTAGGCTGCGCATTCATTGAATATCTGGAGCCTTGGCAAGCAACCCGAAATAGGACTATTTAGTAGTGATATGCTTTGCAACCTAGTCTATCAGTGCAAACAGTGTGAGTTGAATATGGGAAGATGCCACGAGACAAATTACTAGATGCGTGATTGCTGAGCGGGCATTGGAGCCACGTCAACCTACCGAGACGCATTACCATCTTCAATAAAAGTAAACCTTACATTTTTACCTTTGGGACGATCTGAGTTGGCGTACCAGTACTGAATTGCACAATCAATTGCAAGACAAAAAAACTAGGAAAATCGCCGTCTACCACAAAAGTACAATGCAGCATCATCTCACCCAACAGACAGAAAACAAGTATCTCTGCAGCGGTGTACACGTTGTCAATAGCTACATAGCCCGAGACGAACAAGCACATATGAGGTAGTACCAAAAAGCAGCTTCATGCCGACCACCGCAACCGCGCTAGCCCAATTGCAGATCCAAAATGGGGATCGTTCTTCCTCGCTACGGGCCGGTCCCGCTGTTTCACTTGCAATATTTGCTTTACAATCCCACCACCAGCCATCAATCCAGCACAGGGTCCATTGGCCCTCAGTGCAGGAAACCACCAGAACAAGTAGCATCGGTGGTTTAGTGGTAAAATTAGCCGTTGCCATTCTTCTATTCCATCTCATCTTGCAGTGGATGAAAAGGTCAACTTCGGCTAGCCCCGGGTTCGGTACGATTTCCCAGCCACACAACGTTCAATTCGGACGTTCAACTAACAGACGAGTAGATTCCCGGCCGATGCATTACTCTTTCTTTTTTGCTTTTCGGTGTGAGGAGGGGACGAGCGGGAATTTTTTCTTTGCACGGGCGAGAGACCCATGTTGACGGTTGATCTGTGCGTACAGCAGAGGCGCTATAACGTGCGTTTGTGGATACGCGAGGTTAGCGTAGGCTTCCTTTTTGCTTAAAGAACGCATCGTTCGCGGTATAGCTTACATCTCTTGCAGTTAAGTCTGGACAAAAGACAGTTGTGATGAATGTTACTAGTATTACGATTTTGTTACATACATTGTTACTAAGATGTAGCACCTATCTCACCAATAGATTTTGTGAGATGCATGACACCAGAAGTTGGAATCTTTCCAAGTTCGTTGAGGTAAGTTATGGTGCTAATACATTCACAGGTATAGATTATCTTTTTTTCTCAACATTGTCTTCTTGAAGACCAAGGCATGCACGGCAACTGTAGAACAACACCATCGCACTAGCATGCGAATTGCTCGACCCATCATTCCTGATCTTGTTCTTCGTCCTGATCTTGTTCCTCTTTGACATCATCCTTTCTCTCATCATCTTCTGGAGGCATAGAGACTGGAAACGAAAGATGTTTCCAATCCTCAATCTACAATGTGTCAGTGCGTTCATGGGACAGTGAGGCATTTACGTACCTCTTCGGTAATACTCTTCATACGGTCCCGGATACTTTCCACAGCATAACTACCCAGGACCAAGCGCAGCGGAGGGTAGCTACAATGGCCTAGTTGCCACATGAGTTCAGCGCTTTTGACGGCACTCACCGGCTGTCGGTCGTTTAGCCACTGTACCATCCGTCGCGCGTGTTGTGCAGGACTGGTCAAATTGGAATATGGCTCGCTTGGATTTGGTTTCACGGAAAAGTGACCGTACCGCTTTGGTTTGGGAGGCCCTGTTCCAGAAACAGGAGCAGAGGTATAACTGGGGGTTAATACATTGTCGTCTGGCTCGTCCAGCCGAACATGACCGGGTTCAACTAGGGTCGCTTTGATATTGAAAATATCGACTTCGTATAGCATCGACTCGATGAGACCCTCAACAGCATACTTTGTCGCGCAATACGGGCCAAGTCCGGGTACGCCGAGAGATCCAGCCGTAGAGGAAAATATGAGGTAGCGCCCAGAGTTTTGGGCGCGAAAATAGGGGAGTGATAGCTGGATGATATGCAGAGTGCCGAGGAAGTTGGTGGTGAATTGATTGCGCAGGTCGTAGTCGTCCTGGTCTTCGCAGGCTGCAATGACACCATAACCGGTGCTGTTCGCTATCACGTCCACGCGCCCCCAATAGTCGACGCTCTTTTTGATCACCCAATTCACCGTGTCCCGCACTCGGACGTCGCAAAGCAAACCCAAACAGTTCTTATTCTGCCACTTGTCCATCTGTTCCAATGTGTTCTCTTGAGACCATCCGACTGCAGTGCATTGATCGCCGTGTGCTAGAATCGCTCGAACCAGGGATCGTCCTATGTGGCCAGTCGCTCCAAAGACCTGCAAACAGGCGTCAGCTATCCAGCGCGTGTTCAGTGGACAGAAGCGCGTCTTACAATCCATACTGCCCGTTTCGGAGGGTTGCTTTCAGATGGCGGGTCGCACGTGGCAGGCAGTGTGAGGGTAGGATTTTGAATGGCCCCGCCTGGCGAGAGGCTTTGGCTCAACGTGTCGAAGTCCATATGGACGTTGCAAATGTCCGCAATGAGATGCGATCCCAAGCTGTTTCGAGGCGGGGAGCTTAGTCGGCCAATCGGAGATGCAACTGCCGCTATCTCCGTGTTCCAGAAGTGAAAGAGATGCCGAGGTGTATGAGGGACTCATAAGATATGTTGTGAGTAGAATACTCTCCCGCAACATCTGCCAGCCCAAAATGGTTTCCAGTGTAACTGCGTTCAGCGATCAGAGCATAACGAACCTCCTTTCGTCTATCAGGAAGCGGAGGGCATCAATGGCCAGTTGATTGGGAAATGCCTGTTGCCGATTCATGAAGTTGCTCACGAGGATGAAGAACATGATGAAGATGTCTAGGTGCATAGGCGACGTAAGAAAGAAATGGTACGCCAGGAAGAGGAAGGCCTGAGTTCGGTATCGGCTCTTGATTGAGCGGATTACTCTGGCCGCCTTGATGGCAGCAACGCGGTTCGTGGGAGTACGAAAGGCAACGATCTTTGAGAGAATGGGCATCCTAGGCAAGGGCAGAATATGGAGAGGGGTGGTCGGGTGTCTGGAGAGTCATGGGTTGCAGAGACGAGGTGTGGAAGGGGAGGTCACGCTTATCGATAGTAGTACGTAGCTTCCAATTCCCTGCGCGCCATCATCCTTCCCTTCTGGTTGATGCACAATTACGTCTTGGGCTCTTCTGTAAACAATCACAACTCACATGCACAACATGGAATTGTTAAGCAGGTAGTAGGAACACAGTCGCAAATATGGCCCAAGAAGTTCCTACGCCGGTGCCGCTGCCCGTCACACAGGGCGGCGCCTCATCGTACAGTAACCTCTCAACTTGGTTGAACCCCCACTAACATGCCGCAGGCTCTCCTTCACCCAGGGCTTCCTACTTGGCCAGCTTTCCATTGCGCTACTAATATTCTGCTTCATCAAATTCTTCATTTTTGGAGAGCCTCCCTCGGCTGATGAGCGCGCGCTGCACCTCAATTCTCTGCGACGAGCTCGCACACTAGCACACCAGCAATCGTACAAGCAGTTGCGGGCGCGGGCAAATTCAACGTCACTTTCATTGCGGCACAAGCCGTCTCGGAGTATTATAAGAAAGGGAGAGGAGAGCATGGGAGGGCCGAGCATAGCAACCATACTTGCAAAGACATATTACAACGTCAAAGGTCACCAACCGGAGAGCTTGGACTGGTTCAATGTGCTCATTGCGCAGACCATTGCACAACTAAGAGCAGATGCGAGACAGGACGATGCCATCCTGACGTCTCTCACAGATGTTCTGAATGCCGGTAGCAAGCCCGACTGGATTGGCGATATTAGAGTTACTGAGATAGCACTTGGCGACGAGTTTCCTATATTCAGCAACTGCAGAGTCATGCCCGCTGACGACGGCTTCTGGTATGGACCGGGCAACGCGGGAAACGAGAAAGAAAGACTCCAGGCCCGAATGGACGTGGATCTGAGCGACGTCATCACCATCGGCATAGAGACGACGTTGAATCTAAACTGGCCAAAACCAAAGTCTGCAGTCCTGCCAGTTGCCCTCGCTGTCAGTATTGTGCGCTTCTCAGGAACACTGGTGGTATCCTTCATACCCTCATCATCACCTCCGTCGACCCCCGCCCCCGTGTCATCACCAAAGTTAGGTACCCATCAAAACACCTCTCCGCGCCGTCCTTCATCCTCGTCTGGCGCGCCTCCACACCGTCCCACAACCCTTGCCTTTACGTTCCTTGACGACTACCGTCTCGACCTCTCCGTGCGCTCCTTGGTCGGATCCCGATCGCGCCTCCAAGACGTACCCAAGATAGCCCAGCTCATCGAGTCGCGCGTGCACGCCTGGTTCGACGAGCGCGCTGTAGAACCGCGCTTCCAGCAAATCGTCCTCCCCTCGCTCTGGCCCCGCAAACACAACACAAGAGGCGGAGCAGCCACACCACCGGATGCCGACACAGCACTCCAAGACAGTGACGACGAGGACGAAATCGCGGTCATGGACGGAAACGGGACTGCACCTCCTTCAGCTTCGTACATCCCCAGCCCGATATCCGAAAACGTCACGCTGGAGGAACGCATCGAGGCAGAGGGCCAGAAGATGCGCGAAGCAGAAATTAGAGCTGGCGTCCGCAAACCAAGTTCTGCAGCTGATGGTAGAGAGCATCGTGCTGATGGCATGCGCTGGCGCGGCGAGCAGCCCCGAGGACGTCAGTCTACGAGACCCAAGTTGCAGAGCAGGACTACGACTGGGATTGCCGCGGGTATGCCGGGGGCTCTGCCTCGATGATTTATAATGATATGTTTAGATGCACGTTGAATGTAAGATAAGATTTTTCTAGCAGAAAATGCGGGGGGTTGTTTTGCTGAGAAGAAAAGGAAGAGAAATACTTCAACTTCGGGCTTAGTTGCTTATTGTATGATATTCTTAACTAATACACCCACTCAAATGCTGTGCGTTCTCTATCTCCATCTTTCTCAGTCAGATTGAACTAATGTCATCAGTCTTCTTCTTCTTTTCCACTACTTTCCTACAAATTGCGCTCCTGGTACCCAGCCGTTTGACAAGACTGGCGACCTGATCAATCATCCCATTGCGCCAAGCAGGCATTTGTGGTGTCTTTCCTGTGTAACACGTCGAAACAATAGTAAGAGAGATCAACAAAACTAGAGATGGTGATGTATCAGTGCTGTGGTACACATAATATGTAAATGGGCAAAAGCACACCGCCTTCATTCACCTCCCAAAGCGTTCACGTGTAAAACATACAGCCATTGTCACTTTCTACGAAGTTCTGTTTTGTGCCACCCGCTTGAACTAACCAAGGTTAGGACCTTGTAAACGCCTAATTTGTTCGGGGCACCATGTCAGGACTATTCAGGTAAAGGTGATTACGGTATTGTTGGTCAAAGTCACTTGCCATTTTCAAACGCATGTGAATCATGGTATTCTCTCAGTGGTGTAAGGCATGACTATAATTTGTAAACCATGGTCCACCGCTTTAGGAGCTGACCAATAACGCTCTGCCATTGACAACGAAGCCCAGCCTTTGGCAGCCTTGCCTTTACTGTCATCTCTCACTGCTTGATTTCCCAGCACAGTCTCGGCACACACAATCTATAAAAAGGGCTACTCCCACCATACAATCTCACTCTTAACACTCTTCTCTTATCTTTTTGCATCAAAACCACCTCAACACATATCCTCAGGTAACAGACAATCCATCCTCCTTATCTCTACTCGCTGACTGACAAAGTGTTAAGTAGAGCACATTATGGATCGACGCAGGAACAATCTCACTGACGAGTCTGATGACGCCGATGTGTCTCAACTGTCCGCTTCATCCATCGCGGACTCACTTCGAGAGCTCATCCTCAACACCTTTGCTGCAACCACGAGCCTGTTCACTTTCAGTGACGACGAAATGCGTACATCGCCCCCGGAGGTCATTCTTCGCCGCATGCTGTCCACCAAGTCCGCCATATCGACAAAGTCTTCTCTTGCCGAAGCTAATCAGCGCGCACGCGATGACGCGAGTCAACAAACATTTCTCCAAGTCGGCAAGGGACAGTGTGGAACGGTGTTTGCATTAAAGGGCACCGACACGGTCATCAAGCTCGCCAATACGGCCGCTAAGAAGGATGAACTCTACACCGATCTCCAGACACACCAGTGTGTGTACCAAGCTTTCGATGCCCTTGCTTCCATTCATCCAACAGTCCGTGTTCCCCGCTGCCAGGCATGGGTTGCGCCCACGAGCAACAGGTTCTGGGATTCGAAGGGCGCTTTGTTTCCCGAGAATACTCCCACGCCCAACTACGGTCTTCTCTCCGAGCGTATCTTTCCCCTCCCTCTTCCTGTACGCGCAGCCATTGTTGATGCGCTCTGCCCCAAAGCCATCAAGAATGCCAAGACCCAGTTTCTCAACTATCACGAGAACAAGTCTTGCCTGGTCAGAATTTATCTAGGTCGCCGCAACGACACCCGAAAGGCAGAAGCTAGGAACGTTCGACTCCGCAACTTCCCTCTCCACGTCGATGAGATGGAGCGCCTTGAGCTGGATACCAAATTCTATGCGATAAACATGGCACACGCTTTGGCAATTCTCCACTGGAGGGCCAACGTCGATGCCAACGACGTGGAGTTCGTATTAGGAAGCAGCCCGGCGATCAGTGGTCGTCCAACGGTAGCGGACCTTGATGCAAGTACGGCAGACACAGCAGGTCGTTTTTTCGATCTCGACTTCGAGCACCGCACTGTATCTATGTGGCTACTGGACTTTAACCAGTGCAAGCGCTTCCAGTACAGTCAGGCACTCAACCCAGAAGGCCGTGCCCAAGCCATGAAGAAGTTGGTCGAAGGCTTCTGGTTCAATGATCCCTACTACCCTCGCCCCAACGCCACCGACGATCAAGACAAGGAACTTTGGGCAACGTTTGAGAACCACTACCTCAAGGTGGGTACACTGCTGGTTGCGCATCAGGGTCCAGCGGAGTTCGTTCGGGCTGTGGTGGAGAAGGGTAAGCAGCGAGCAGCAGCTAGCAGCTTGTTCGGCTGAGATGAGGTTACGTTGAACACAACAACAAGCTTTGAGAGGTGTTGGCGGGATACCTTGTCGAAGAATGTATATTAGTATTTTGCCCAGCATGAGCCAGCGGGATTCATTCAGTGGCTGGTATGTATGAATCAGGGCAAAGTAGCAAGCAGCAGGTAGCCTATTCGGCTCATATGAGTACAAGCTGTACCTAGAGAATATCATAGTGTCATCTTTGTTCCGCTAGTCAAAAAAAGTGCAGATGATGATTACCCCAAGAAGAAGTAGGAAATGTGTCAAAGTCTAATCTCAGTTGTGTTGTTGTATTTATATGCTGGATTAATACACCTCTTTCACATATCCCATTCACATCCCCCGCCCTCTCTCTCTCTCTCTCTTTCTCTCTCCACATATGCAGGAAAGAAGATACAAGCCTCGTCTGACAAAAACCCATATACCAGCGTTACGCATAGAACAAGGAGAAAAAGCCGCAACTTCGCAACATGGGTATCCATTGTTTACTTTTTTTTTCTTCTCTCTATTCTTCTACTTTTCCATCTCCCTCTGCTTCGTTTCTTGCCTCCACACAAACACACACGCACATGTATATTTATGTAACCCCCCCCCCCCAAATCTCACCCACTTTCCAACCTAGCCCATCACCCCACCTCAAAACCCAAACCACGCCATTCGCACGATAAAGGTAAAAAAAGAAAACGAAAACAGGGAAGGGGGTATGTCATTATTGCTTACACATGGCAAAAGTAGCATATAACTGTCCACCCGAGCAGAAAAAGCAACAAAAATAGATAAAACAAGGAGCAGTTTGTCTTTACCCTGCGGGGAAGAAAAGACAACGACGGAGGGAAAAAAAAGGGCTGCTAATAATGTCTATTGCGTTGCTGGAACCTCGATATTCATGGCTGTTGGGTCTCCTGGCATTTGGGGCTTTGATGCTTCTTCGGGTGCGCTGTATGGAGGGGTTGGTGCAGAGAAGAAGCCACTGTCTGGTTTGGATGCGGCATCTGAGTTGGCGACGGACGATTCTTGTGACTTGGGGATGACGGGTGCCATGTCGAACTGCTGTGGTGTTGAGAGACCGTTCACTGACGAAGGGGCTTCCGGTTGCACTGTCGATGCTGATGGCTCAAGGCGAGGCGTAGTATCCTGCTGCAGTGATTGTAGCGGTTGTGCTTTGGAAACTGGCGCGGCATCTTGACTTGCACCGTTGGCCATGGTTGTGTCGTTGTCTTGGGCGTCAGAGCCTGGCTTACGGTAACGGAGGGTAACCATCAAGCTTGGCTCGTCGTCTTCTTCCTCAGAGTCATCAGCATCGGCGTCATCTTCATCGTCGTCAAGGTCCATCTGATCAGGTTCTTCTTCGTCGTCGTCTCCCCCATCCCACGACGTTGCATCCTCGTCATCTTCTGAATCCATCGCCCGGTTCAAGGTACGCTCGTTGATTGCACCTCTATTCGCAGCCCGTGCGGCCCGACCATGGCCTGATTGCGGCTCCTCTGATACATCTGATCGCACATAGTCACCAGTCGCAGGTGATGGGTGATCTGTGACTTGTCCACTATGGAGCTTTTCTCCATACAGGCCGGTTGCACGAGATCGTACCTGGCGACCGCTTGCAGTGACAGTTGGACCAGAGGGTGCAGCAGGAGTGTCGCGACCCGATTGCCGCCCGGACCTACGCACAGAGAGGTTGTCTGAGTCAAATTCATCCTCTTCGTCGAATGTATATCGCTGGCGCTTGCCACGGGTGCGGCCTTCGTACAAGGAGAAGCCAGGTTCTGGGCGCGTGAAGGCGTCTTTGCGTTGGCGTGTGTATTCACGTCGCTTTCGTTTCTGTCATGTCATTAGTATGAGTGGAGTATATGGTTGATGTACAACATACGACTTCGGAAGCCTCAAACCGTGGGACAGCGTTGAGCATGCGCTCGCTTAGTGCCTTTGCTTCTTTGTGACCGTCGACCTCTTCTAGTTTCTTCGCTAGTGCCTGCACTTGTTCGATGGAACCAGCTACGCTGATCCATTGGACCTTTCTTAGTTTGGGATCTGTTTCGCGGTAGACACGGAAATGGGTATCATTTTGCCCCTCGACTAGGTAGTACCGCCGCTTATCGCCGTCACGGCCCCAGGCCTGCACTGACAAGGGGATATTTGTGTCTTGCCGGTCTTTGGTAGTCCGTGACTTGTAGGCCGTATTGATCATGTTCTTGACCTGCTCGTTTTGGTTGAGACTCCATAGACACAGCGAGTGGAGGAGGGTTATCTAGGGCGCTCGTCAGCATACGACAGCAAAAGGGACTCGAAGAGTGCTCACCCGCTCTACCGGTGTCATAGTATTGAAGCTGCGACCACCGCTAAGGGGGTTGGTGGTCCACTTGGTAGGCCATTGCGATCTCTGGGTTTGGATGGCTTCTTCGAGAGCCCGACCATAGTGACCTTTTCTACAGAGAACAAGCACGTCAGTATGCGTGCTATGTCATTGCGTGCGCAGCAAGTGGGCGACCGAGAAATGGGTATTGGGGACGGGCGAGAGGGCTGGACTAACTCGACAGGTTTCTTGCGATTGAGGACAAGGCCAAGCAGGGAACACAGCAGACCCTCGACATCGGCCGATGGAGTGTGTTCGGCAACGCCTGATTCAATGTCCTGTGGGCCGACATGGGGGGAGCCGCGGGGGAAGGCTTCGTTGAAGCGCGAACGAAACATGACAATGAACTGTGGCACATGGGATTAGTTTTGGCTTGAGGGAGAAATGGGTCGCGATTGCGACGCAACACGGCGCGTCTGGACGCGACTGACGCGTCCAATACATACAGCAATGTCTGGATTGTCCTCTGGCACCGGCTCGTGGGGTGGAGAGGGCTCCCGTTTCCTCGGGGGTGGAGAAGGCGAGCGATGCTTGAAGAAAGTCAAGATGGTGCCATTCTTCTTTCTCTTTTTCTGAGGCGCAGGCTTTGTCGCCACTGCCTGTGTGACCTGGACGTCCATTTCATCGTCGGTAGGAGGCGCAGAAGACAGGGAAGAGTCCGAGTCGGCCATGGTTGCTGGGGGTGGTGGTGGTGGTTGATGTTGTTAGTTGGTGGTGGTGGGAGTTGCGGCTGCGGTAGCGGGCTGGGGAGAGGAACTGCGAATAGAGCAAGGTTAGGGACGCATGAGGTAATGCCAGTCGGCTAGCACAAAGGATCGTCTCAAATAAATCTCCCTCGCTGGGCTAATCAAGACAATGGGCAATCTCACGTACAAGTGCTCTTTGCGATGCATCAAGTTTTTAACAACGAGGGGCGCGCATACCGCATTTCTCTACGACGCAAAGTTCCGACAGCAAACATATCATTGGCCTATATAATGTTCTCGTCAAAGCGCGGCTCTCGACTTTTTCTAGGCATTCTACATGTTGCGTGCACCAACACAAGTCTACTCCCACCACCGCTTCACCGCTTCAACACTCGCTTTTGCTTCGGCCATGTCCCAATCATGCATACTGCGGCGCTGGTCCACCCACTCGTCTGGATTAAACATGTGTGCAAGATAATGACAGATGTTGGTTGGTGTTTCATTGCCATAGACTGCCACGACGACGGATGGTTGAGGAGAGTAAAAAAGGGGCTCATTGCACAGGAGATGTGGGCGCGCCGGCCAAGCAAGACTGGCGATGCATGCGCATACTACGCGATGACTGTTTTGACGTTGGTGGGTGCCATGTGAGGCTCAAATGCATAGGTCCGTCTCTTTGCCCAAGTTTGGACATGTCAACCTCATTTCGCATTCTTGTGCATGCTTTGATGCAAGTGGCCATGACGATTGGGGGCAGCGGTAGCGTTCCAGACAAGGTGGACGAGGTTAGTGTGTGATGCGGGTACGGAAAGGTATGTGCAGACTTGTTTGTGGTCCATGTGGGGTTAGTCTGGGTGAGTGTTCAGATGCAGCGCATCGGCTGTGAGGGTTTGGTCACACATGGGTGGGGGAAGGTGATGCGAGAAGGGTGTCGGTGTGGTGTCGAACTGGTTGAAGACCAAGGCGCGGTTGAGGTTGGGTGGTCGGTTTGGCGCTTGCTGAGTCACGTGCAGTGGACATGCCATTAGGAGAGGAATTGCACCACTGCGAGCCGGCGAGGTGTGTCCTGGAAATGGCCTGGCTCTGTGAGACGGGATCAGTGCAGCGTATCTATGTGCACATGTGTGTGCACATATATCAAGAAACACGTGAGAAGCAGAGACAGCACTGCACATACATGTACAAGTATGTGTATGGCTATAGGCAAACGACGTCACAGTGCACCGCAGCCTAGCGAGGAGGGCCATGCCATGGGCTGCAGACAAGACGGCGTATTCTACAAGCACGAGGATGATGGCATCAGCAGCGGAAGGCTGGCTCGAGATAGGAAGGCGACAGCGATAGCGGACAAGCCGCTGCATGGCTGCATGGCGGAGAGTGTGGACGCGCCCTGGGAGGACCAAGACAGGCCGTGGCGGCGCGTGGGAGGAGACAATGAGAGCATCCACGGCAAGACGAGACGGCTAGGGATGGGAGACGGGGGGTGGAGAGTGCAGTGGGCGAGTGAAACGCAGGTGTAGCAGAGGGCGAGGTGGTTGCGCAGCACACGCTCTGCCCAGCGTCCGATGAAGTCCTGGCCACCCCAACCAACCAGCCATTTGGGGGGTTAGTGGGCCATTCGTCGTCGCCGCCGCCGCCCCCCCGCAGTACGACCAGGGCTGGACTGCACGCTGGCTGGCCCAGCAGAGGGGAACGGCTGGTTGGCCCTCGTAGTAGGAATTATTATCTGCCCGTCCAGCCCAGCCCGTCCAGCCATCCTGCCATCCATCCATCCATCCATCCATATACTACGACTCACTGCCGCTCCTTGCTCGTCAATTTACGCCCGCCTGCTGTCCGTCCTCCGTTTGTCCCTCCCTTTCATCTCCCCCCCCCCAAACACTCTCTCCCCCGCCCACTCGCCCTCGTTTCGCTGCAGACTGATCGCCACCCCCATCCCGGCTCTATCTTTG